GTTCAACAAGACAGAAAATGGCAGGTGCTGGCGAGGATATGGAGAGATTGGGACTCTCAATACACTGCTGATGGGACTGTAAAATGATATAACCACTGTGGAAAACAGTATGGCAATTTCTTAAAAAGCTGGAATTAGAAATACCATTTCACTCAGCAATTCCATTACTAGGCATATATCCTTAAGAAGTGACAGCCAGGACAAGAACAGATATATGCACACCCATGTTCACTGCAGCACTATTTATAATAGCAAAAAGATGGAAACAACCTACGTGCCCATCAACAGAAGAATGGATAACCAAACTGTGGTACATACACACAATGGAATACTATGCAACCCTAAAGAATAATGTAGAATCTGCAAAACACCACATAACATGGATGAACTTGGAGGACATTATGTTATGTGAGAGAAGTCAATCACATATGGACAAGAATAGTATTAGTTCATTATTGTAAAAAATCAAAGAATGGTTTATATATGGAAAGGAACTTTCTTTGTTAGTTACCAAGGGTGGGAGGGGAGGAGAGAGAACACTGAAGAAAAAAAAAAAAAGCATCGACACATGTCACTTTAGTTTTGTGTATTTCATGGTACATAAATTATATTTCAGTAAAATGCATTTTTAAAATAAATAAATAAACACAAAAATCTAATCTATCACCTTTAGAGGAAGATAAGGAGCCAACTCAATATTTAAAAACTGTAAATAAAGTGAAAAAAACCAAACACTTATCCTGAATTCCTTGTATAAAATATACTACTATGTAACCAAATCCTAGATGAGAGGAAGTTTCTCATGGTAGATTTATTCCAGTTAATGAACAAGGAATGACAGGATCAAAAGATCATCATTTGGCAACCCCTAGTAAATGACTAAAAGGAGTTCTGGTGACATAGTGGGTAAGACATTTGGCTGCCAACCAGAAGGTCAGCGGTTCAAACCCACCAGTTCCTCTACAGGAAGAAAATGAAGCAATCTACTTCCATAAAAATTCACAGCTGTGGAAACCTAATGCGGGTTCTATGAGTTGGAATTGACTCAATGGCAGTGGGTAGTGAATTGACTAAAGGAGCCCTGGTAGCACAGTGGTTAAGTACTCAGCCGCTAACCAAAAGGATGGGGGTTTGAACCCACCAACAGCTCTGCAAGAGGAAAGACCTGGTGATCTGCCCCCATAACAATTACAGCCTAGAAAATTCTATGGACTATGTCATATAGGATCGCTATGAGTCAGAACTCTGGGAGCTCTGGTAGCGTAGGATCTAAGGCACTTGACTGCTAACCAGAAGCCTGGCAGTTCAAACCCACCAACCACTCCTTGGAAGGAAGATGGGGCAATCTACTTCCATAGTGATACTGCCTCGAAAACCCGCGGAGGGGTCGCGATGAGTCGGGTCTGACTTGATGGCACATAACAACAACAACAACAACAACCACAACAACAACGTGAGTCAGAACTGACTCACTGGTACATGACACAACAAACAGTGAATGACCAGATCTAGGCACTAGGCATCAATTGTTGCCAACATCAAAACAAAAAAGAGAGACGAAGAAACACCATGTGCCTCCTGATATAACAACCTATAAAGTGGTCTTACCAAAACAAAACAAAAGCTTCAAGTTGATAAATTTTTCAGAGTCAACTATCAATTTACAGGAAATAGGGAAGACAAGGATACCATCAGTAAAATCCTGACCACAGGAAACTGTTTAAGACAAATGACCCATTTTCTTCAATAAATAAAATATACAGGAGGTTTTTTGTTTTGTTTTGTTTTAAAAACTAAATAAAATGTGTATTTATTACTTGCTAAGGGAGCTCTGGTAGCATAGTGGCTAAGGCACTTGACTGCTAACCAGAAGGCTGGCGGTTCAAACCCACCAGCCCCTCCTCGGAAGGAAGGTTGGGCAATCCTACTTCCGTAGTGATACTGCCTCGGAAACCCAAGGAGGGGTCGCTATGAGTCAGGGCTGACTCGACGGCACATAACAACAACAACAACAACAACAACAAAAGTTTTTCATTTAAAAACAAAAGATATTTGCTAGCACTCAGCTAAGACTGTGGACTATTTAAGCCACTGACTAGCTCTATGTATCTGTCCATCTATGTATCTCCGTACCTGACACACTAATCAGTATATAGTAGGTACTCAGTAAATATTGTCTAATTAGTGAGATAATCTAAACAGTTCTGACTTAGTGATATGCAAAGCAGGAAGCAGATACATAACTAGAAGTGAATAAAGGTAGTAACTGGTAAACATTTGTCTTGCAAGTTTTGTAGTCCCAATAGAAGTTGAAACAAATGGCAATCTGTAATGGTAAAACGGCAGTTGAAAGCTCAATGGGTTAGTACTTTTTATTTTTTCAGTCTGGTTTATCAAGAGTTTGTTTTTGATGATTTTGATCTGATATTGTCCTAAACTTATTGCTGCCTAGAGAAAAATTCCCTTTTACTGATGAATCTTAAATGTCTAACTTCCTTTAAGATATACTTAAAAAGAGAGATACCAAACAATGACAAATATCTACGCCAATATTTCCTTTTTGTAAACCTAAGATTATAATCCTCAAATCCACGACAAAATCTGGCTCTCAGATACTTTAGATATATAAAATGGTAGGTTAAATGACTACTTCATTTACATAGGGCACATTAGAAATACACCTCATTTATACTTCCTTTCCTACTCAAAGCTCCCACCAAAGGTCTGGATAGTTAGAGGAACCAATTAAACAGTCATCACAAAATAAATAAATCCTGCAGAAATATCATTAACTCACCCAAAACAACTCTAAAGTCCTCACCATCCAGATGTAATACCCAAGTATTGGTTGTTTTCGATCTGCTTTCCATATACTTCTTGAGACTTTTTCCATTAATTTCCAGAGTGTATTCATAAGCAAAACCACTGACAGCATCTATGTTTATGGTTGCTTTTGTCTTCGCAGCTCCAACACAGAAGGTTTCTTTGCCCACTAATTTGAACATCCATTCTTTTCTTATCTCTTCCTAAGTAATAAAATATAAAGTTGAAAAAAAAATGGAACAAATTTTAAAATTTGATTTTAGAAATATAATTAAAGTACCCAAAAGGCACTGCTACTTCTACATAATTTTATTAGTACATGATTTCAAGGTTTTAGAAAATAAAGACTTTTAAATTTAAATATTTAAAGTCATGAAAATAGTAAATATGGTCTAAATTCTCCAACTACTACTAGTTTGCTCAAATGATACAGGCCAAAAACAAAGATAAAGATCTAAAGAGAAAAGTCTTCAATTCACATAAGATGGTACAGGAACAAAATCATGCTTCTCTCTGATTCATGTAACATATTTTTTTTCCTACCTTCCCATCTACATATACTACACGTTTGCCTGACGTGGTCCCATGTTCAAATTCAATCTTGTGAACTCCATCACTTAAAGCAACATCCCAAACGGCTACGAGATCCGTCATTTTTTCTAGGCTATACGGAGGGCTAAGGGAATAAAACAAAGTAATTATAATGTGCCAAAATAGTAAGATAATAACTAATTAATCCTTCTGAGGTGATAATATCAAAAATTTAAATACCTCTAAAAGTATAAAATATGAAAGTGATATCTGAGAAATCCTATTCACAATCTTGAACATGTAACTATTTTATCTTCTTATTCACTCTTCCTTTATCTATGGATAGATAAACTACTATCTATGGATAGATAGTCCGATAATTCCAAAGTCACCTTAATATTAATAGGATTAAGAATCTATCAGTTTATCTTTAACAGTATTCTCAGCTAGACTACAGAATAGTGCCTGGAAAAATCAGTACAAAGTCTCTACACTCCCTTCTCCCCAGCCCTATTCAAAAAGCTCAGTATTTGATGTTTTTTCTTTTCCAGATCTAATCATGCCAAAACAAGAACTGTCCAACTCTTCCATATTTAAACTAATGACTAGGGGTTTAACAAAAAAAGACTGAGAAAAAGAACAGTCATGGGGAGAAATGTCCTCCTACAACAGCAATAAAAATGATACAAAGAAAAGTCATGAAAATAGTAATTCTTGGCACTATCACAGGAGAGCTTGTAAAAAAGAAATGAAAGGATTCTGGTTTGTCATTTATGGCACAATGTAAGCACTTATATTACTCATAGGTATAGATTTTTAGCTTTGAGAGAACTAACATTTATTATAGTAATAATTGTTGTTGTTGTTGTTATGTGCCATCGAGTCAGCCCCGACTCATAGCGACCCCTCCTTGGGTTTCCAAGGCAGTATCACTACGGAAGTAGGATTGCCCAACCTTCCTTCTCAGGAGTGGCTGGTGGGTTTGAACCGCCAGCCTTCTGGTTAGCAGTCAAGTGCTTTAGCCACTATGCTACCAGAGCTCCTAGTATAGTAATAATTACCTTTTTAAAAAAAAAAAAAAAAACCAAAGTCACTGTCATCGAGTCGATTCCAACTCATGGCAACCCCCTTTGGGTTTCCAAGGCAGTAAATCTTTACAGAAGCAAAATGCCCAGTCTTCCTTCCTTAGCTAACCATTATTAAGTGCTTACTGTGTGCCAGTGATTATTCTGAGAGGGTCACATATATTAACTCACAGAATCCTCACCATGAGACAAGTGCTATTATTATCCCTATTTTTTAGATGAGGAAACTGAGGCTCAGGAAGGCTAGGGCACACAGTGTGGCAGAGATAGGATTTAAACCTAAGATTCAGGACTCCACAGCTTATTCTCTTAACCACACATTCTGCTATTCACTCACTCCAATCTCCTCTACACATGTGTTCTAAATCAGAGATGGTAAATGGATTTCATCATTTTGAAGTAGCTGCCAGGAATTCTATGCTGAGAGGGATTTGGAGATCTCATGTCCAGGTCCTGTGGAAAGGATGCCGTGTTAGGGTGGTAGCCACCTCCACGCCAAGTATTCACTACCACTGTTTCAAATCATGGGGAAAACAGAGCTACACATTATGCAATTTTTTAAAGATGTGTCCCAATCAGAGTAGCCTGGATAAATCATTCTTCTGAATGATTATAATAATCTTGAAAGTTTCAAAAGCAAGTGTTACTGCAATGCAAGACATTTACCTTTCGTCATCTTCAAAGATAGGACTGTCATCTCCAGATGCCATGGTTGGCAAAACAGCTTTTAATCCAATTAGCAGCCAGGAAAGAAAAAAGCAGAATTGCAGCAAAAAAAGATTGAGAGCAACAAAGATGGTATCTACAAAAGGTTTTTCTAACTTTGCAATTCAGCTCTTAAATTGCATGCAGTTTCTGATGAAACATTATTTACATACAATAGAATTGCAATCTCTAATGTTCAGAGGAAAAAAGTCAAATCATATTTTTTTTCTGACATGGATTTACAATTTGTTTAAAGTACCTAGAGTTTATTTCAAGTATTCTATATAGCACACTAGAGCTCGAATAGATTGAAGAGCCCTCTGAGTCCCATGCTTTTTAAACTGAAGCTCAGCTAGCCCCAAGGGCATAAGGCAGTGGGTCAGGGAATACATACAACTCCAGGATAAACATGATGCATCTTCTGGGAATACCAATGTTACATGGTGTTAACCATTTTAAAATGCCATCTTTATATCAAAATTTAGAAAGCTGTATGATGGATATACTTTTTTAAATCTTTTTTTTTTTTTTTCCTTTAATTTCAAAGCTGGTTTGCTCTTGATGAGTTAGATAAGCATGGCCCAGCTCATCCCAGTTAATTTACCAGTGCCAATAATGAATCCACAAGTTATAAGACTTTCTCAGGATTACTAGCAGGGCCCAGGCCAGAAGTGGAGCCCAATACTCATGTTCAATTAACTAAACAGTAACTTGGGCTGCAGTGCTAATTAAGTTTTACTAAAATCAGAAGCGCACACATACTCACATGCATGGGTGTCACTACTCCACATTTGAAGATTTGAGATTAGCAGTTGTAACCCTGCTGAGCTATAACAGGTTCACCTATTTTTTGCTTCCCAGGTCTGCCCTAATCCAGACCTCTCCTTAATAAGTACCTTCTCCATACAGATGCCCAAGGGTGCTCTCACCTTGTTAAAAATGGGAGAGTGCCAAACCTCTTTGGCTGGAAACAACTAGCAGCCACAAGTTGTTAAAAACATGCTAAAGAAGAGATTAGAACCTATAAAAACAATCCAAAATGCAAAGAAAAACTAAAAGTTTTTTTTTAAAAAAAAAAAACTAGGTAAAGATTCAAAACACATTATACCTAAACCAAATCCCCCTTTAAAAAAAAAAAAAATTACAGCAGTACGAATTTGTGGATTTCTCTAGTCTTAAGAAGCCCTATAATATCTCCTACGAAAGTGGAGGGTGTCCTCTAATCATAAAAACAAAGAGAATAAAGAGCAATAGAATAAGCAAAAGAGCATAATATAAACTTTGATAAGACAACCTTTGTAAAGCAAAGGGGATTTAAGGATGTCATTCAAATTTTGCTCTACAACTATTAGAGACCCTAGAAAATTCAGTAATCCAGAATTCAAACCTAAAACAACTGCCCAATTATAAGAAACTTCAAATATTACTAAATCACACAAGTAAGATAAGACATGATATCACCTTAATTATAATAACTTTCATAAAGAGGTATAAAAGACAACACAACAATCATACTGAAAGAGAAGATGAAGACCACATTCTTTTAAAAGTTCTCTCTAAACTATCACCATTCGTTTATACATTCAACAATTATTTACAGAATATTTATAAAAAATCGTGATTTTTCATTCTCCAGTAATTGATAGTCTATTTCATAGTTTATAGAGAACTATATAAAATGATCAGGGTAAAGGATAAAAATTATCTGGCAAACATGAAGCAGTCCAATTCTTAGTGTGTATCAAAATTGATGTTTCTTCCTAAACACAAATTCACAAATCACTATAAAATTATATTGCCTTCTCTGTTTATTTAAGGAGCTCTGGTGATGCTGTGGTTGAAGCATTCAGCTGCTAACCAAAAGGTTGGTAGTTCAAACCCACCAGCTGTAGCTGCTCCATGGGAGAAAGATGAGGCAGTCTGCTTCTATAAAGATTTACAGCCTTGGAAACCCTATGGGGCAGTACTACTCTGTCCTATAGGCTTGCTGTGAGTCAGAATTGACTTGATAGCAGTGGCTGGAGGCTTTGCCTGTTTGTTTTGTTGTTGTTGTTAGGTGCCCTCAAGTCATCTCCCACTCATAGTGACTTTATGAACAACAGAACGAAACACTGCGTGGTTCTGTGCCGGCCTCAAGATCCTTGCTATACCCGAGCCCATCATTGTAGCCACTGTATCCATCCATTTTGTTGAGGGAATTCCCCTTTTTCATTGCCTCTACACTTTACCAAGTGTTCTGGTTACCTAGTGCCACTCTGACAAAAATATACCACAAATGAGATGGCCTTAACAAACAGAAGTTTACTCTTAAAATTTGGAGGCTTTAGTCCAAGTTCAAAGTGCCAGGCTCTAGGGGCTGGGTAAAAACCCCTCAACCTTGGGGTCCACCTCTGCCTTCTGCTCCTGGCCCACTGCTAGAGGCATTTCTTCACTCAGACAGCTATTGGCTGCTGAGGCTGAGAAGCCCCAAGATTAACAAGGAAAAAGGCACAATCCCAATGTTATCAAACCACACAGCAGGCCATTAAGTCCATTGTATGTCCCAAGGTCGGCAGAGCATAGCAGGCTGCTGAGCAACCACCAGCTACATGCAGGGTCCAAGCGTGCCATAAACTAGAGACCATTCTCAAAGCTTCTGCTTATATACAGGAAGCACACCACATACCCAATGGCAGCTACTCAGCTGCTCCCAGTAGATTCCACCATGGAGTTGATTGCCAGTCTCATCATGGGGAATACTACATCCAGCTGCCCAGCCACTCAACCAGGCCTAGCCAAGTTGACATACAAACATAACCATCACACCAAGCATGATATCCTTCTCCAGTGAATGGTTCCTTCTAATAACATGACCAAAGTAGGTGAGACGAAGTCTGGCCATTCTCACTTCCAAGGAGCATTCTGGTTGCACTTATTCCAGGATAGATTTGTTCTTTTGACAGTCCATGGTACTCTCAGCATTCTTCTCCAACATCAAACTCAAAAGCATCAACTCTTCTTCAGTCTTCCTTATTCACTGTCCAGCTCTCACATACATAAGAGGCGATTGAAAATATCATGGCTTGGGTTAGGTGCACCTTTAGTCTTCAAGGAGACATCTTTGCTCTTCAGTACCTGAAAGAGGTCTTTTCCAGCAGATTTCCCCACTGCAATATGTCGTCTGATGTCTTGACTGCTGCTTCCATTGGTGTTGATTGTAGAACCAAGTAATATGAAGTCTTTGACAACTTCAACCTTTTCTCCATTTATTGTGATGCTGCTTATTGGTCCAGTTATGAGGATTTTTTGTTTTCTTTATATTGAAGTATAATCTTCATCAGTAAGTGCTTCAAATCATCCTCACTTTCAGCAAGCAAGGTTGTGTCATTGGGGTATCGCAGGTTGTTAATGAGTCTTCCTCCATTCCTGATGCCACGTTCTTCCTCATATAATCCAGTTTCTCGGATTATTTGCACAGCATACAAATTGAATAAGTATGGTAAAAGGATACAACCCTGACTCACTCCCTTCCTGATTTTAAACCATGCAGTGTCCCCTTGTTCTGTTTGAACAACAGCCTCCTGGTCTATGTTCCTCATGAGTACAATTAAGTAATTGTTCTGAAATTCTCATTCTTCTCAATGTTATCCACAGTTTGTTATGATCCACACAATCGAATGCCTTTGGCTAGTCAATAAAACACAAGTAAACATCTTTCTGGTATTCTCTGCTTTTCAGTTTTTCTATAGCTCCAATTAAGTAAGAAAAAATTTGCTTTAATCTAAAGACAGTAGTATTTTAATTTTTCTTGTCCAGGTTATGTGTTATTCTAAGCAAAAGACTAAATAAAATATTTTAATAATTATTTCTGGGAAACTGAATAGCATACTAGGCTTATAAAAGGCAGTAATGATTCTTTTTTTCAAATTTTATACATTTTTAAAGGTAGAGAGTGGCTGAAAAAACTCTCTATGCAAGGATAAAAGTGAGCACTATTTGATAACAACTACAAACAAAATATTAAAGAATCATATGATTTTTGGGGGAGGGGCCTATGAGATCACCTAATCTAGTTTCTCTCCCCCTTTATGGGGAAATAAGAGTAAAGAAACACACCTCCAAATGCTAATTTCCCACCCCTATGGACAACTGTAGGAGCTCTGAAAACATAGTGCCTAAGGCATTTGACTGCTAACCAGAAGGCTGTAGGTTCAAACCCATCAGCCACTCCTCAGAAGGAAGGCTGGGCAATCTAGTGATACTGCCTTGGAAACCCAAAGAGGGGTCGCTATGAGTCAAGTTCAACTCGACAGCAATGAGTTTTTGTTTTTTGATGGCCAACTGTGGGCTCTTACTATCCATATCTCTAACAACTTTGTGGAGGGCCCTGATAATGCATCTGGAGTGAAGAAAAATTTTCACATGATCTCACCATAAAGAGTATCCTCCATTGACAAATTCTATCTAATGTTTAGGGAAAAAAAATGTCCAAAATCAATTCTGCCTCCTGTTTTGGACTTCTCTCATGCCAGAAATTTCAGTGTTTTGTAACCTCTGTCACTTTAGGACAGTATTTCATTGCAAACTTTATATATGCCTTCTAAAAATCTCAGCATGTTAACAATTGGGAATTCATGGATATGACGCTGAAAGCACAAGTAACAAAAAACAATAAAATAAAAAAATAAATTGAGATTTATCAAAATTAAAAACTTTTGGGCATCAAAGGATTTAATCAAGAAAACGAAGAGACAACCTACAGAATGGGAAAAAAGAACATTTGGTAACCATATATCTGATGAGGTTTCAATGCCCATAATAATAAAGAACTCCTACAACTCAACAATAAGGGAGCAAACAACCCAATTTAAAAAATGGACAAAGTACTCAAATAGACATTTCCCCAAAGATAATATTCAAATGGCCAATAAGCATGTAAAAAGATGCTCAATATCATTAGTCATTAGGTAAATGCTCATCAAACCCACAATGAGGTACCACTTCACAACACTAGGATGGCTACTAT